AAGAATAACCAAACCCTGGAGCAGAAAAGACAATAGAATTTCTGAAAGGGTAAAATTCCCCAATGAAAAGTATGCAAATGCAAAAAGTAAATATTATAATGATAATAAAAATTTCAAAATTCAAGGCCAAAAAACCCTGAACCCTGGTACCTTTTCTGGTATTGAAAAAGATGAATGAGAGAACATAATTTTTACTAGTAATGTCTCAACTAGGTTTATAGTTTCTCTCATGTTGATGGATGTTCCCAAGTGAAAATTTTGTGTAGTGTCCTTTATTATTTACAGAGTTCATCCTTTATATGATTTTCAGTTCATTTTAAATAGTATAAGCAAGCCACAGACTTTTGTCATAGGATTTGGTGATCAATCTTTGAAGATTCTGGACCAGATGTCCTAGCATCCCTATTAAATTATTTGCTTGGAGTTTCAATCCAACATCACCTGAAAGTCTTCAGAATTCATACCCCTTTTATAAATAAAGTGTATATGACAAAATCCTGAGTAGGAGAGTTAACCCTTCAGTGGATCTGCTATAGTTGAGGTTAGCAATTGAATCAAGCCATTGCGCTGGCAATGTGTGAAAGTGATCTATAACCTTTTAAAGTCCCCAACCAACTCTTAACAGATAAATATTAATTCCAGTTCTAGGGCTGGTGTAACTATTTTCCCTCCTATTGCTTGACATGGAAAGGAAATAACTGGAGAAAGAATATATTCAGGGTGAGTTGTGTTGGCCATTCAGCAAAATGCACATTGCAGTGACAACTTTATCAGATCAATCAAAAGGCACGAAGTATTTTATGCTAGCTTTTAATGTTCACCAACTTTTTTGTCAGGCAAAGTTGTTAACAATCTTACATGGGAAGAAAGGTGATGGTGTCAGAGTCACAAATCTGAAGCTTGTTTGAAATGTTTGCTTATGTTAGTTTTTCATGCATGGGACCTCGACCTACATCAACTCTCCCTTAAGACCAGGTTAAACACTATCTTAAACAAACTGCTCAAATAAGATTCTGACATCATGATTTTTCTTTTTCTATATGACTTTTAACAATTTATCATTAACAAGTCTTTGTCGATCCTCCAGAGATGACAGTAATGGGACATCTCAACACACTTGACACATTTTAGACATTTCTGACAACTTCCTGGGGAGCCATGAATTAAGTATAATTTCCCCTCATTACAGATGTAGAACTACAAACTCCTTAGTCCACTTCCAGATATTTCGAGTGGAATTTCCTGTATGGTTATGGAAAAAGTTGAAATAGTGTCTCTGTTTTAGTTTGTATTTAGGTAGGAAGAAAAAGATTTTCAGACCTTACAGCTATTAGATAAATGTTCAAAATAATCTTTTTACAATATTTATTGGTATAGGTAATAATAATAATAATAATTTTTATTTATAGCCCGCCCCTCTGCACAACAATTGAGGTGGGTTACAGCATTTAAATGGGTAGTGCCATTCCCAGCAGTAATCAGGGAGCAAGGTAAGGAAGCCCTGGTGGCGCAGTGGTTAAATGCCTGTACTGCAGCCACTCACTCATAAACCAC